GTTGTTTTCCATTAACCTGTTAACTTATTTACACAAAGAAATCCAGTGTTTAGAAACTGAACTGCATTCTCCAATTTCACCAGAAGATGGTAGAGTGGTGTCAAAGTTCCAAAGACTTTGTTGCTCTGGGTTCACAGCAATGCTGAGAGGTATGTTAATTAACTGTTAACTAGAACTGTTGTGGTTCTCAACTTTCCTAATGTGATTCGGCAAAAGCTTAATACTGCTCCTCATGTCCTGGTGACCCACAGCCATAAAATTATTTCATTGCTGCTTCATAACTGTAACTTTGGTACTGTTACAAATTGCAATATAAATAACAATTACTTGGAATCCTGAGATACAGAATATCTGATATGCCACTCCTATGGGGGTCATGACCCACAGGTTGAGAACTGCTGGCAATTAGCAAAATTTTTTTATTGAAAAGGGCTTAAAGGATAGAGAGATGGCTTAGCCATTAAGAGTACTTGCTGCAGTTCAGTCATAAGACTGGAATTCAGATCCAACCACCCATGTTTGGGGGCTCACAGCACTATAATTCCCAATTAAAAGGTCCAATTCCTTCTTCTGGCTTCTGCCAGCAACTGTGAGAATACTCTCTCTCTCTCTCTCTCTCTCTCTCTCTCTCTCTCACACACACACACACACACACACACACACACACACACACACACACGAACATTTTGAAAACTTGGATAATATAATTGGTAAGTTGATTATCTTGCTTGTCTTGAGTATTTTCCTGCAAGGACAAGAACAGAACCCTGCCCCAACCCTTATGAGATTTTCTTACCACCTGTAGGGTTGTCACCTCTGTGGAAGACACATCATTTCTCTTTCTCAAGAAGTTTCTCTTTTTCAAACCGAATCTTTACTAATTTTGATGAAATCCATAGCTTTTCTTCTCCTGTGGCCTTCAGCACACTTCCAATCAATAATCAATCAATTTCTGCATTACCTTGTGCCAGAGGACCTGGCAGACCCATATGGGATTGGATGTGTGCCATGTATATGGGACAAAGCCTATTTCCGATTTTATCTTGAACCTGTATGAATAATAAAGTCAATTCTGTACCATCTGGTATAAATTCAGTGGTTTCAATATGCAAGACAACTCTTTCTTCAATTGTGAATCAGTAACTATATTGAGAGCTTCTTTAAAATTCCTTAGTACCATGAGACTAGCATATAACTCTGTCTTTTTTTACAGAAGTATAAAGGCTTTGTCCCACCTTGCCTAAATCTTTTGATTTGTAACCTGGCTTCCCTGATTTATTTGCGTCAGTATAGAATGTACAATGTCAATTACAATGCAGGGAAGAATCCAAGTAGTTTTCTTTATAAGGTTAATTATATCACTTTGGGGATAATGGCTACTAATCTCTCCTGAGAAACTAGCACAAGCTTTTTGCCAAGGTTCATTGTCTTCCCATAATTTTTTTTTAATTTCATCAGTAGTAAAAGGCACTATAAGTTTTGCTGGGTAATTTCCTGCTAGTTGACAAAATTTTAAGTTTCCTTTTATAACTAATTCAGAGACCTTTTCCACATAAGTTTTTAATTTTTTACTTTGTTTACGTAGTTAAAAGATCCATTCTAAGTCAGATTCAGACAATAAAAGACCTCTGAATGGGTCACAGTGTTGGATAAATGTATGTAGGCTTGGGAGAGAGGGGATAAAAAATATGGACAGTTATAAAAAGAAGTAAATGTTTTTAAAAACCAAAGTCTTTAAAGAGACAGTAAAAGTAATATTAAAGAGTACAGACAATCATAGATTAAAGGAGTAAAAAAAAAATAAGTCACATAAAGATGGAATATGCACAGAGAGTCTAGATTATGTATATCATTGTGTTTTCTTTGAATTTTTTGACTGCAGGGAGATATTTGATTCTGGGGGCTGCTAAGCTAAACCAACATATATATTTTATAGATATCTTTGAAATTACTTGGTTCGGGTGAGAAGGAAACATGGAACACGCAACAAACCCACTTAGCAGTTTATTAGAGGGGGTACTCACAGGCCTGGGGATCAGTGTGCAGAGAGAAAGAGAGGGAGATTGCGCATCCAGCTTTTAAAAGCTGCCTAGCACATGTGCACAGGGGGTTGCAGGGACTATGCCACATGCTGATGCCACAGATGACGGGTGACTCACACATGCGCACAAGGGTTTAGCTGAGTCATATATGGATGTAACCAAATATGCCCACACATGGGTCACACAGGGCCCTTTCTGCTCGACGGCCCGTCCACATGAAAGACCCCGATTTGGGGAGACTCTCACTCAAGCCTCGGGATAACGCGACCCCCCAGTAACTCACGAGAGACCGTCCTTGCTGCAATCACACGAGGTTTAATGAAGGCGACAAGACGGGGACCAGTGCACTGGGGCCGAGACTCATAACCCACCCAGGGGAAGAGTTCGACCTCGAGTGACCGGGAGAAGTAGTTTTTATAGGAAGAAACCACATAGCCTAGTAATCCGAAAGGGAGGGCAGGGAGGATGTCCGAAAATTCCAGTGATGATTACAAAGGGGCAATTCCCTGCCTCTCAAGATCATTCTCAAAGGTCGTAATCAGCTAGTTCCTATTCCGGTGATAATTACTAGGGGATGACAATTACTAGGGGGAATCTCTTTGTCTCTCAAGATTACAATCCACCTTTATCTTCAGCTAGTTCCTGGAACCCTGGAACTGGTTAACCTTAGATTTCTGATTCTTCTCTTCCTGTTAGATTTTTGGCTCTATTTTCCTGTTAGGGGGATCTGGATTTATCCAGGTCTTTCACACACATGCCTGCCTTTAGAACCTGGAAGTGCAGCCTTATCGGTGGCTGAATAATTACAATCTTGACTTCAAAATTTGGTTCTAAGGATATGTTGCTTTGGAAAAGAGGTTCGCTTTTGTTTCCACAGAAGATGAGAACCTGTGAATTCCTTCCAGGCTAATGTGGTTTGATGGAACAAGACCTTTCAAAAGGTCTCCATGAATCCCTAAAAACATTTCACCCAACAAACAGCAGGAAGCAGTTTGGAGAGAACAACACTCAAATTCCCAAAATGAGTGTTTATAATGTTCATTTTCATTTAAAGGTGGTTGATTATAAGTGGTCAATGGTCACAGTCAATTTCTAAAACAAACGAACGAACGAGCAAAAAAACCACAAGGGAGATATGATATAGAGGTGAATAGTTTGCATGGGTATGGATCTTGGTCTATTAATACATATTTAAGATTGATTTTGTTACACTGTGTATATACATTTCTGCTTTTGTTTAAAGAATTCTGTATGGGCAGCTCATTTAAAATGTAATGTATAATTAAGAAATACAGATTAATAAATAGTATGTCGCTTGAGTCACCTGCTTTTTCGAGTGCTTCTGTCCTTCCAGTTGGTCCCGATAGGTGTGCAGCCCTGCACGGACCTTACAGTAGTGCATGAAAGGCGACCCAGGGCCCTCTTTGAACTTTGGCAGCCAGTCCAGGGATGGCAGCACGTCATTGGTAAAGCTGGGGTCTCAGGGTCCGAGGCCTGGTGGTCCAGGTCCACTGTTGCTTCTTCAGGACCCATTGGAACTTTGGTAGGTGGTCCAAGCAGTGGGAACTTGGGCCTGGCTGGCAGAGTGAGGCTGTAGCTGGCTGCTCCAGTGTGTCCTCACAATTCCTGATCCCCTTTGACTCTTCAGAGGCAGCAGGCAGCTGGCAGGTAGACGCAGCAGTAGCCACAGGGAGAGGCCCCTGGGGCCAGCTGTTGATGTGGAGTCCTGGCTAGCATGCAACTGGGAACACCTATATCCCAATAGCACTCCTCCTTTGGGTACAGGCATTGGCTGGCAGTGCTCTCTGTTTCAGGAGTAGACTGTATTGTGTAACTGGCTCCAGCCGCTGGGACTCGGAAAGCCGAGGATGGCTGGGGGCTGTACGTCTGGTCAGCACCCTGTACAAGGCCTGTAGAGTCACTGGCTGCTATGTTCACATCCTCCCCAAGCTCACTTTGAGCCTGAGGTTGTGCTGAGTGTGGACTTGCCAGGGCTGCTTGCACAGCTGGTGCATAGCTTCATGCTGCTGCTGCCAGTGTATGCCCTTGGTTCCCTGGGGTTGATCTTCAGTTGGATGCTGCTGGTGCTTGGTCTTCTTGTTTGGAGCCACAGCCTCAAGGCCAGCATCCTGTGCTATGCACTGGTGCTGTAGGAGGATGAGGAGTGAGCAGTGCACCTGCCAGCGCGCGCCTGGAATCTGTCCACCTGGACAGACACCGAAATCTTTCCAGACACCGAAAGGCAGAATGGCTAAATAAGATGGTAAAGCACATGTGGCCCTTTATTTGTCAAATTATAGAGACGATCTTTCAAGAAACCATAGAACAAACTGTGCAGGGAGCAAACGCCCACCTCAGCACCTTCAGTTTCACAAAACTGAACATGGGTCAACAGTCCTTTAGAGTCAAGAAAACTTCGAATGCAATGGAACCATCATCCAGCCTTCTGGTGGGAGACAGAGCTGTTATTGTGTTTTCTTATCTGATTGCTGCATTTGTCTCCTGGTTCTCTGATGTACCTTTGACTCACAGGTCAAAAGCACCTTCACTTCACCTGAAGCCAGAGAACAAACATATCCTTTTGTGTCCTAAAATCTCTCTTTAAAATTGTTAATATTCTGGGCGCCCTTCCACCTGTGTGACAGGAAATCACTCCACTCTACATTGGAGAAAGGGTCCTGCAAGCTAATCACAAAGTGTCCACGAGGAAAATGCAGAGTGCCTGTGAAGCGCAGGAAGATAGCGTAGTCAGCAGCTGGAGCCAGGGGCACGTGCTATTGAAATGCAAATCTCTGCAGCTTTGGAAAAGATCTGGGTCTCCGGTGGAAGGCGAGATCAGGACCCTTTGTGCTGTGTCTTTAAGCACACTGTAACCCTAAGGGAGTTGCTCTCATCACTAGCCAATCAGAGCCTCCAGGCCGAACTGCCAGTCAGAAGTAATGCAGGGCACTTCCGGGAGCCAGGTTGCCGGTTTGGCTTTGTAGAGGAGCTGGTCCCAGTGCTTTCGTGTGCCGCGCTGCGAGTGCTGCTGCAGGGTGCTGTGAGGGGGCCATGGGCGACCCGGGAAGCCACGACATGGTGAGGGAGGGGCTACTGTCCCCAGATGGAAAGAACGAATGGGAGGTGCGGGAGCCGGTGTGGCGGGTTCTCCCCGGGACTGGGACTGGTTAGAAATCTGCAGTCAGATTCCCTGTCCTGTGAGTTCCCATGCGGTCTGAGACTCCTTGGACCCAGGCACAAAATAATTTTGCTCTGTGGGTTGCATCTATTCAGAGCATTGGGAGCACGGAGCTGTGTGTAGAAAAGTATTTGTAGTTAACAACAATATGCTTTCAGTGCATCTGTGGAAGACAGGCTGCCAAACTTGGAGAGGCCTACTTTCTCCTGTATCTTCTAGACGTTCAGCACTTTGCATTTAACCTTTATGTGTAAGATCCATTCACAGTTAATTTTGTGGAGGTCGTAAAAGGTATCTATTGTATTGGGTTGCAGTACCCCACTACTTAGCTGTGATGTAGAGGAGTAGAATTGATGATGTAAAGTAATTACTAAAGCTTAGTAGATGGTAAATTTCACACGGTAGAAGTTAGCTAAGGGAAGGTTGCCCCTAAAACATCCTAAAGATAGAGATGCTAATATACAAAACAAAACAAAACAAAACAAACAAACAAACAACAACAAAAAAAAACAGGACTGCCCTGATATTTGGCTTTGGCTCCAAACCATTACAAAGAAGCCACCCCTGGTTTACAATCAGTCACTAGGCCCATCCCTGTATCAAAGAACAGTCCTCTAACAAGCTGCTCAAGGTGGCATTACAAGGCCATAACCCACCTCAAGGGCTGGTGTGCCTCAAAGCTCCAGTTCTCTTCTTGAGAAAAGCAGAGTTCTGAGGGATGGGAAATATGACACCAGGTAACAAGTACTCAAAAGATAAAACACTGTTGTGTTGAGGACTGGTCTGGGATGATCATATAGGTCCCCAAGCAGGGAGGAGTAACAACCTTGGAAGAGAGAATAACAGCCTGGGGCCTAGGCCTTGGGAGCTTCCGGAGAACCTCTAAATCGTGGAATACAGAGGTGGTAATGGTCTGGGACAGGGCCTTTGTAAGATTTCCCACCAAGTGGAGCTATGGTTATCAGTTCCAAGGCACTGTCAACTTAGTTAGTATTGTTCTTGAAATACCCTGTGTTCCTGTTGTGCAGCATTATTTGATTAGCCTCCTCCTGAATTTGTCCCATTGCATGATCGTTTCTGCTGACTTCATAGAAATTCCCCATTTCCTTCCATTCCTCCATGGAAGTAGTGTACAAGAAGGTGTTCTTCTTAAGAAGCTTACTTGGCATGAGACAAAGCTTGTGTAAGACCTCCCACCCTAGCTTTTATCTTTTCTACTTTCGGCTTGCCCTATCTTTCCCATTCACTGGCACCTTTACCTCAGTACCCTGTCACTGAAGAATGACCTGTTGCATCAAGTCACTGGTGTACTTCAGAAACAATTCTGGCAATATCTTTGCTGTGTAACTCCCATCTGCTAGACTTGCAGTCTCCTTTCCCTATTTAATAATTGTTCAAAGCATAACCTGGAGCATGAACCTAAAAGAAACTTAAGGATAACAGCATGTGTGGAATGCAAACTCTGTCTAGGCTGGCTCCTTTTTGAGCATTACCCAAAGACAGATAAATGCTCTCATTAAAGAGAATTTTCTTTATTAATCTCCTAAGTGTCTGGAGTAATTTCTCCTTGGGAAGGCATATTAATTCTAGAACAACTGAACTCCCACCCTTTTGGAAAATGCATTTCTGAGACAAGCTCTCTTCTGTTGACCCAGGTGACCTTCATTTCAGACTGTTCCATTCTAGGCCAATGATCTTGTTATCCTTTATATTCTCCCTCCAAAATTCTTAAATGACCATATCACTCAGAGTTTTAAATTTTTTCATTTGTGTAATGTAGTTGACTGTTCATTGCACTTACAGGAAAATAATTTGCATGTGGAACATTTCTGCCTTCAGACTAGAGCTGGAGTTTATTGTGTACACTGTTGGGGTTGGGGGAGACGGGGACAGAGTAGGCAGTCAACTACTGGAGTCATTGTTTTAAAAAGTCACTTATAGCTATCAGTTTTTTTTAACATTTGCTTTATGTACATTATTGCTTTTACTTGTTTCTGTTCTCCAATGTTTCTTGGTCATTAAGAATTTTATTCCTTTTTTTCTCAAGTGTTATCAATTTATTTAATTCTGTTTAGAGCAATATTACCCATAGCTATGAAGTTGAGAATTGAGAATTGCTTTGAACAAACACCTAATCCTGCCTCTGCTGCCCAGTGCTGGAAAGACAGTGCTGCAACTCCTTCCAGGTTGTGCCTTGAGAGCTCAGTGAGAAGGATGAGAGACACCAGTGAATGTGTGTCCTCCAATATCTCTGATTTTTACTGGGGAATTGATTTCATTGACCAACTTTGAAGCTGATGTAATCACAGCACAGAAAGAGAGGGGCAGAAAGGAGGGGGAGAGCTTTCTTGATTTGGCAGTAGATGATATTAGCAATGTGGAGTCAGGTAATCAATTTTAGATGCTCCAAAAATGTCCTGGCTGGCCATTTCTTGAGGTCCACAGACCAAAGCAATCAAGAATCTGGGTAAAGGACTGAACTTATCATGTAACCAAATTACTGAAGTTACATTAGTTCATCCAAAGTAGAGGATCTTTGTAAACAGTTGTGGCCCTGCCTAACAGTACTGTTATTTTCCAGATTTAAGATGTACAGGCTGAGAGAAAAGGTGTGCATAATCCTTGGTGTTTCCTCATACAAATCCTTAGTCTCTGGAGTACACGGCACTAAAGCCTGTTTGAAATTTTCCAATAATTATTTGAGATAAAAACTACATCATACCCATAGTCTCTTTCTTGTTTCTAAGCCCTATCATGACTCCTCATTGTTTTTAATTCATGGCCTGTTTCTTGCCTTAACAACAGTCAGTTGTGGAATGTACACAAAAAAGACCCTGTACCTGACCGAGGAATAGGAAGTGTACTTGGAGAATGGAAGAATGTCAATTAAAACACAAACTTTCAAGTTGGGCGGTGGTGGCGCATGCCTTTAATCCCAGCTCTCAGGACGCAGAGGCAGGTGGATCTCTGTGAGTTTGAGGCCAGCCTGGTCTACAAGAGCTAGTCCCAGGACAGGCTCCAAAGCTACAGAGAAACCCTGTCTCAAAGAACAAAACAACAACAACAAAAAATAAAAACTTTCTTGACTAGAGCCCTGTTTGCTGGGCTGGAAGGGTAGAGCTGGGAAGGTCTGTGCTGTGTGAGTCATTTGATCTCTGTTCACCAAGTATGGTAGCTGTTAATATTCTGAGGCCCAGCTGGGTGGCCCTAGCTTGTTCTTTTCATGATTCTTCTATGTTTCTGCTGTAGAGAGTTGTAAGGAAGACCACAAGCCATGCCATGGTGAATGTGGGGTTTCCAGAGCAGGTCTACTGCATTGTCATTTCTGCTGAGACTTTAATAGGCCATGAGCCAGACTGTGATTCTGTTGGTCTTCTGCTAACCTTGGCAGTGGCCCTTGTCCTCTAAGCCTCCCTATGTGGAATTTTCTTGGCAGGGGGAGGCACAGAAGCTTTGGCATGGGAGGATAAGATGCATGTAATATCACTGTCCAGGGTGCAGTCGTTGCTTGTGGTGTGTGGTAGGAAAATGAATTGGAAAATGATGGTCTAGTTTCTAGATGTTCTGAATATTGCATTCCACTGTCAGATTTGGCTTATAAGTGTTACAAATAGTTTAGTACCTGATAGAAAGAGGTGATGTGGATCATCCTTCAATAAACCACCATGGTGTGATTCAGTGAAGTTCAGTTCCAGAGGACAAAGGGGGGTTTCTGATCTGCAGAGATTTCTCAAGCATCCATGGTACTGGGCAGGTAGATAGGGCAGATTTCACCTCTTGTGCAATAATCCATTTGGCAAGAAGCAAATTTTAAATTATTCTTCTGTGTTGTTTTGCTATTGGGCATCAGTAGGGATGGGTTTGCTTGAAACTACAAGAAGCCATAGGGGGCTGTAAATCTCTCTCTCCATTTACAGAGAGAGTCCAAGAGCATGGGGCTTCTGTCTTTAGAAGAAATATCAGTAGCTGGAGGGTTAGAAACATAAGAGTTCATTTTGAGTTAATTTTGTGGAAGTTATGAAGTCTGTTTTTATTTAATTTCTATACAGATAGAACTAACTGACATTAGTTCAGATCACACTTTTCCTGACTGAGTTTCCTTTGGTCTTATGATTAAAAGTTGATTATATTTTCCTGCCTTTGTTCTTGGCTTTTTCTCTCCATGCCCTTTTTTCTTTCACAAATATTCTACACATTTTTGATTGTTATAGTATTGTGGTAAGTATAGAAGTCATACTGTGTCAATCTCTGTACTATTTTTTCACAATCCCATTGAACATTCTGAGTGTTTCCACTGTGAATGAATAATCAGCTTTCTTGTTGTAAATTGTTGGGAAATCTCTTTGGATTGCATTCAATTCATGCTGCAAATTTACCATACACAGCATCCTATATTGATACATCATATTCCCAAGGACATTTATTTATTTATTTAGGTTTTGTTCTTGTTGTTTTTAATCTGTGAGACTTTTGGTTTATTGGGTAAAAAGTGCTATATGTCTTGGCAGGTGGCTCAGCACATATTCTTCTTGGGATGAACTGAGTTCAGATACCAACACTCAAATTGGGGATCTCATAACTATCTCCTATTCCCCTTTTATTCTCTATCTTTTTTATTGATTTTTATTGAGCTCTACATTTTTCTCTGCTCCCCTCCCTCCCACTTCAACACTCCCCCAAGATTCCTATGCTCCCAATACACTCAGGAGATCCTTTCTTTTTTTACTTCCTATTTCTCGTATAGATTAGATCTATGTAAGTCTCTCTTAGTGTCCTCATTGTTGTCTAAATTCTCTGGGATTGTGGTTTGTAGGCTGGTTTTCTTTGCTTTATGTTTAAAAACCACCTATGAGTGAGTACATGTGATAATTGGTTTTGTGTCTGGGTTACCTCACTCAAA